TACTTGTTACACACTACTACAACGGCTACAAGGGACGAATGGGGGCCGCTATAAGAAGCTTCGCCCCTAAAAATGTTTAACGATTCCGAGTACTTCTTACTCAACTATGGGAGAGCACTGAGCCGTGCTGGTAAAAGTACCTTGTCGGGAGTACTGTTTCCTCAAGAGCAAATAACATAATCAAGCTCTCTCAACGGACCTAATCACAATACATTAGTGATATTCTGCCCAAAGCATTATACAAGGCCTGCCTAATACACAGAAACCAGTGACGTGCGGTGCTCTAACAATAAATACAACGCAATTCAGCGTTGTATATGTATGTCAACGTGCTCTTCTGAATTGCACATTTAGCAGTGTACTTTTCTAAACTCTGCATATTTCCCAAACGCAGGCAATTCCAAGCCGTGATTCTGCTTCTCAGTGGCTTCCTGATCGTGTTGCTCGGTACTTTCTGCTACTTGCTTTTCATTTTGTTCACAGGTGAGTGAAGCATGCACCTTAGGAATATAAAAATTGGCAGATCCCACGTACAGTGGGAATCGATGACATGCGATGCACGAATGAAGAAGGTTGATATGTCACTTTAAAATCAGCACGACTCTACGAGGCGGAGGTAAATTATGCCATATATGACTTCCATGTGGTGACTATCACGTTTGTACGTGGCATTTACCTTCGTAGTCTGTTCACGTCACATGATACCTAATTTGGTATAAGTGCAGCTAGCGAAACGGCCGCGAGCATACTATGAGCGTAGCATGTAGTCATGTTTTACATGACACACATGTCATGATTATCATGTTTGAACGTGTCATTTGCATTCGTCGTCCATTCACGTCACGTGATACCAAATTTGGTATATGGGTAACTAGCTAAACGGCCGGGAGCACTCTATGAGCGTAGCATGTAGCCATGTTTTACATGACATGCAATTCACGATTATCATGTTCGGACGTGTCATTTACCTTCGTCGTCTATTCACGTCATGCAGTACCTAATTTGGTATATGTGAAGCTAGCGAAACTGCGGTGAGTGCACATAGCGTTGATGCGCGCACACGTTGGGCGCAGCGACGCTACGCAAGCAAACGTCGAGCACTCTATAAATGTGACGCTAGGTGCGACCAGCGTCTGTCGGCGAGGCCCAGCGGCAACCGGCGCGAAACGCAACACGCTGAATTTCGCGCCGCCGACGTTCCCCAGACAGCACCGCGTCTTCTTAGATTCGTGACGGAGGGATGCCGGGTGCGCTCAAACGCGCATGCGTCAAAGCAACGCCGCGCGGCGTGCGCCTGCGAGCATATGCTAGGCAGATCGGCGCCTTCCATGGCATTGCCGACGCGAACGCACGCCGGGTCACATCAAAGTGTATTCGCGCCTTGAGTGTGGCACGTAGTCATGTTTTTACATGATACGCATGTCATGATTATCACGTTGGCAGTGCCATTTACATATGCCATCCGTTTGCGTGACGTAATACCGAATTTAGTACATGTGAAGCTACCGAAACGGCCACGAGCACATCATGAACGTAGCATGTAGTCATGTTGTTACATGACACGCATCTCACCACCATCATGTTTGCACTAGTCACATACCTTGCTCATCTATTCAGGTCCCGTAATACCAAATTCGGTGTATATGAAGCTAGCGAGACGGCCACGAGCGCATTGTGAGTGTGGCATATAGTCATGTTTCATGACTTACATGAGATGCATGTGATGATTTCCACGTTAGCGTTTGTCAATAGTGTTCTGCATGCAGTCATGTCATAAATGCCAATTTTGCTACATGTTATGTGAACGAAACTACCGCAAGGGCAGCAAGACCATGAAATGTAAATCATGATATTCATGACATACATTTCATGATATTCATATTATGACTAATCAGTTATGCTCGTCATACAGTCATGTTATGTCATACCATATTTGGTATTGATACCATTAACGAAACGGCCAGGAGAGCTAAATGTCGTAGGCGGCTAGATAGATAGATAGATAGATAGATAGATAGATAGATAGATAGATAGATAGATAGATAGATAGATAGATAGATAGATAGATAGATAGATAGATAGATAGATAGATAGATAGATAGATAGATACGCTCAAAGTCGCCGAAGTTCACTAAAAAATGCTTCGCATTAAAAAAGAACTGCTAAACTCAATACAAAACGTGTTGTTTGGCAATTAGGTTACGATCCTTGATTATTATTGTCATGTGATCACTTGGTAAAGGAAACGCTGGTGCCAAGTTTGTGATAAAATATGATAGTGCTGCATGTGGCCTGCCATTTGCAATTAGTTCTCAAAGCCAAATAGAACCAATCCCGAGCTCATTTTACAAATGATGTCGTACACCGTTACACAGACGTTCATTGGCTCACTTTTGCATCGTGAGCTGCATAGTTAGTGTGGTCGTCGTGGGATGCCGCCACATGCCCACTTGAAATCGCATTGCAAGTGAGCCACACGTTCACTATAGAGTAAAGGAGGAAAACAGGCTCAGAGTCGTGGCGTGCGCATGACGTAGCTTTTTTTTTTCGTGTGATTCCTTCACGCTTATCGTGCAGCGCGCTTGTTGGAACGAGAGAGCGGAAAAAGGCAATTACCACGTGCTAGAGATCTGCGTTGCAACTTCGGCCATACTTAGCGTGTTCTGAAACTTCGAGCGCTGGTGGACTGATTATGCAATCACCTTCTTTGATAAAGCTATTCGATGCATACTTGACAAAGAGTTGCAGGGCTTTTTCATCATCATCCTTATCTCCTATTTTCATTGTCGTTGTTCGGCCCTTCACAGAATTAAGTGCATACAAACGGCAAGTAGGGGAAACGATAACAGGCTCGTTTCTAAATGTTGCTTTAACATATTTGTTTATGAAGCGCATAAAGGGAACAGAAGCGATGAATAAACCGATAAGGTCAGTTTCAGATTAAGGGTCCACGTCACGGTATGGTCTCGTACGGAAAGCGATGGACCTCTGGAAAATATTACGCTGTGAGCAAAGACAGCGCGCGCACGCGCACATATTAAATGGCTCATTCAATGTCACATATTATAACTTTTGAATACTCGACAAGCTTCGCTTCATTAAGCAACAAGCTTCGCCCCACTCTCTTTACGTTTCAGTCGATCACTGTGCTACTTAAACTGTGAAGCTCACATAAAAAAAAAATGACCACTGGAAAGCGCATTAAACACCTCTGCTGGGAACATAGTATTTATGGCACGCAGTGCGTTAGATTAGTAATACGCTTCACGGAAAGGCCTATAGTGTTCGGGCGGTATCACTAAATATATTTCATCTTCTGCATTATAGGATAGTGTCAGAGTGCTTACGATACCATACGGACATGAATTGTTCTGGCATCGTACAGACAGAATCACATTTGTCTAGAGTGGTGGAACGCGTGACTGCGAATGCTGCTGCGATTCTTAGCTGCGGCCTCGTGTTAACAAGCTTCCCTTCATGCTTGAATTAAGAAAAAAGGGACTTACCAAGCAGTACGACTATTGGGTATCACTACGCTCTCAGTTTTTGCATAGTTTGGCAGAATTCGGAACGGTGGCCCAAGCTGCCGGGTCGAGCAAGTGGGATTCCGTCTCCACAAGTGAGTTATGTGGCATAAAGTAATCGCAGTTCACTTGTTGTTAGTAGACGCGATTAGCGAAATGCTTAGCCGCTCAATGTACAGTACTCACGGATGCGAAAGCGACACCAAGTTTTTTTTAGTAAAATGACTGGTGTCCGTGATTGATCGAGAAAACCACGTCATGCCGCAACCAATCTGGTCTGATAGTGATTGCTCAAATCTACATGTTCCATTTGAAATTAAACCGATGTGGCCTTAGTAAAAAATCGTAAAAAAGAAACTCTATGCACTACTTACGAATGAATTGTGCTGTGTCGATGCGTGAGTACTCTACGTCTAATTTCATTGTGGCAGAACAACCAGCAACTTCCGGAGGCTCGCGTAGCTACTCCATTAGCTCTGATGCATTCTTGTACTACTTTGTGAGCATCGGTTGCAAAAGCTTAGAAACTGTGCTTAAAGTGACACTAATGCCAATAACAATTTATGTGGGAGAGAAAGTTCAGCGTATTACAACGTTTAAAACGGCCATATTATGAACAGCAGTGCCTTACCGAGAAATTAAGCTAATTGTACCACACGATGGGCGCGATTTGTGAGCTATTTCGAAATTATTTCCGATGACGTGAGAGCAACCGACTACAAATAACCACTAGTGATCAAACTAGGTGCAATAAAAAAGAAGCTTCCGTGCATCAAGAGGCGTAATAAAAGGGTGTTTATGCGTTTATACTCAATTCATAGCAAAAAACAACTACTGGGAGTTACTATTGGGAATGGCATGAGTTGTTCATAAGCTATATCCTTGCCACATTAAAGCGGACAGGGTGGTGCCACCTGGCGGGGTCTAGTTCAACAAAGCACGCTTACCATCTCGGAGGCCATGTCAGAAAATTGTTCAATGGCCGTTGCTTCTGCTATGGCTCCCGATACTTAGGCTGTGGTGCTACTGGGGTCGGCAGCCGCGCAGTAAAGCTGGACAGCGTGGTGCACAGCGACAGTCATGTGAAACGGACCAATTTAAGGCGGTTGATTTGAAGTGCGCTGACATGATACGGACGGCTAAAACGAGATTTCATTTCAAACTGAGCATGTAATTCGCCCAAACTAGTACCACGACGTTTCTGGTCCACTATTTAGAATTCAGCATTGGCTTGGTATTTGCCTTTAGTGTGCTTCCAATCAGAAGGGTATTGTCTCATCAATTTCAGTTAAATACGTCGTGTGGTAGTGTTTCAGCTACAGCTGCTGTTGTGGTCAAAACAGCTGCGGTAATATCACCGCCTTCTCTGTTATTGCACTCTCACGCATAGCTAAACGCAATCTACTATCCTGTGTCTTCTGTTCTTTCGATACAGCGGCACCAGAACCAACATCACGTGGGTCCACGATAAGCACAATGGAGATAACTACCGACGATATTAGCGAGAGTACCACTGCTGTAGTTCCACCGACAGTTTCCATCGCCTCCTCCTGCTCCCATACCTACGCCAGTGACAACCCCTCCACCGGTGACTCATTCTCCGACGCCCACACCTCCCCCCCGCACACCTCCTCCTACGACAATGCCACCACCTGTTCCACCTCCTCCACCTACCCTGTCTCCTCGGCCCACATTGCCTCCTCCTACCACGCCAACTACACTTCCTCTGCCACCCATTTCTTCTCCACCTACTCCGACTACCCGAACCACACTGCCTCCTGCTACCACACCACCTCCACCTCCTCCGACTACGCGGTGGACCCTGCCTCCTGCTACCACTCCACCTCCTCCTCCACCACCTCCTCCGACTACCCGGCCCACACTGCCTCCTACTACCGCACCCTCCTCCGCCTTCTCCGACTACCCGGCCCACGCTGCCTCCTGCTACCACACCACCTCCACCACCTCCTCCGACTACCCGGCCGACACTGCCACCTGCTACCACACCGCCTCCTCCTCCTCCGCCTGCTCCGACTACCCGGCCCACACTGCCTCCTGCTACCACACCACCTCCACCACCTCCTCGACTACCCCGCCGACAGTGCTACCTGCTACCACACCACCACCTCCTCCTCCACCTACTCCAACTACCCGGCCCACACTGCCTCCTGCTACTACACCACCTACACCTCCACCGCCTCCTCCGACTACCCGGCCGACACTGCCACCTGCTACCAAGCCACCACCTCCTCCTCCGCCTACTCCGACTACCCGGACCACACTTCCTCCTGCTACCACACCACCTACACCTCCTCCACCACCGCCACCAATTCCCTCACCGTTGCCTACGCAACCTGCGACCACATTGCCTCCGGTTCCACCTACACCTACGCCGCCTCCTACTGTGTCAACTCCGAAGATTAGAACAGCTAGGCCTCCTTCTAACAATACTGGTGAGTGCACTGCTGTGGCTTACCCTAGCTCTTCTGAGAAATGAGAATGAATGCCTCAGAAGTATGTACAAGTATGACTTCAGACACCTCCAGCACCGCAAAATATACTTGAGTGATATAAAAAAATTGGTGACGGATAGTTTATGAGCGCCTCAATAGCTTTCTTTGCTTTCGGCACTACATGTACTAAAAAGTGCTCATTGGTGCTAATGTCTTGCAGACCAAGGTTGTCAAAGGGGGAAAAAAGCAGCAGTTCAGGCAATGTGCAATAAAAGCAGGGAGACACCGCGCATTTAACGCGCATTGTGTATACAAAACCACCTTCTTAACGAAATATCGAGGAGGAGGACTAAGTTTTATGGAGCCGGCACGGTGGGGCCGGCCGGAAAATTGGGGAAATAGGAAGCCGAGGTTTCGCATGCAAGGAGAAGCGATTCAGCGGGTTGGCAATAGTGCACAAAATTGGTATATAAGTCATATTTCTTTAATGTTAAAAGCAGTTCTCTGCATTCAAGATAGGGGCTTCACAGTGTGAATAGGAAGTGGCAAGGGGAGCCGGGGGGAGGTCTGATATCGTGCTGAGGAACGCACCGTGGTGTCTCAGGGGCCGCATGCGGCCCACGGACCAGCGGTTGCTGACCCCTTCTCTGCACCATACACGACCAGCGAGAATCGAACTCGATTCGTGATATACAGCGTCGAAGTTTTCAAACAGCTACAATGGTTGTCTCAAACGGTTGCTGTTCTAGATCCACGGTAATATACTGCATCGATACTCTTGCAGAAAAATTTCTGAAGAAAATGTCTGCAGGAAATTTCACTGTAAATTAGCTGGAGACCGGCTGATACGCGCTTACGATCGTTACACGACACGGACACCGATACCGTGTGATACAGATCACTAGCCTCTGCGTTGCTGTGAAGTTGCATTGATTTCATTTTTAGGTGGCCAAAATTCAGGAACCAGGGATTACGCTGGAGAAGTGTAGAGTCAGCGAAATATACTACATTAAAAATAAGGAATCTCATCCTTTCCATTACAAGTAAGATATTTGAGTGGCATGGATGATGATTCGATCTATTAACGTATTGTTTCGTCCGCAGGCGTTTATACAGGGCGGATAAAAAAATGTGTCCAATATTTTTTTAAATTACGGAAGAGGTATCTGCGTGCTACTTGTGGCGTTGCCTTTCTGTGACAGAAGGCATCTTCAGATGAGCACCAACATTACTACTGCAATAACTAAAGAAACTAACACAATTAACTTTTTAACGAATGGTAATACTTGGTTAGGTCAAATGAGCGAAGTCAAGCCCTTCCTACGAATAGTCCATAGCGACTTTGAAATATTGAAAAAGCGGCTACTGGGAATCACCGCGCAGCGATGCAATCTGGCCAATTTACTGGCGAAACTGAAACCGACGCACCAAAGAGCGCATCTGTAATCCACTTCGACAACACCCTCAATGACGGCACTCTTTCCTTCGCATTGGGGGAGAAGAATAAGCGAGCGTCGCTAAGCGGCCTCGAAGCAGAGTGTCTAAATTGACGGTTGATAACGGCGAGAGAAACAGTGTTGTCGCTGAGGGCGTTCTCGAAGTGAACGGTATGTGCGCTGTTTGGTGCGTCGGTTTCCATTTCTTCAGGTAAATTAGGCTCATTGCATCACTCTGCGGTGATTACCAGTGGCCACTATTCTAAAATGTCGAAAGTGGCTATGGACCATTCGTAGCAAAAGCTTGAAGTCACCCATTTGACTCGACCGGCTATATCACCGCTGGTTAAAAATGTCAGAGAGCCAAGCCGCACCAGCTCGTGGCGTTGTTTGAAACGTCGCGGGGAAGCGTTTTCAAACTCTAGACTGCAACAAGCGTGTATTGGGGGCCGTTCAAAATAAAGTACAAAAGCTGTTTTACTTCCAACGTCAACGGTCTACGCAACGCTATAGATAGCTTGGCGTAATGATCTAATTCTATAACGTACTAATTCAAAAACATGGCGGCCTAGATGAGGTAAAGGCAGCAGAATCCTATCGCTCTTGACCTGCTTCTTTCTTTTCTGTAATTTTTCAAGGACCCTTAAAGCGCCCCAGCGGTGCAAATTTAGTTGAGGTGAGGGAGTTCTGCTCGAGTTTACAACGAACACGCAGCCGTGAAGATTTTTCGAAATGGTGTCGTAATAGCGGAGTTACGCGTGTTTGATGATCGAAACGAGAAGATCGCTTCTTTCCATATTTCCTGCGCTACCCTCTTCCAAAACCGCTTGGCCCCTTTTCCATGAGACAGCTGAGTGCCCCTCCTCATCTCACGTGGCATACATCATCCCCTGACGTGCTGTTCGAGACAGCGTCTACTTCCGGTTGCCGCGATCCGCCACTTCGACGGCCTAGCTCGCCTTCAACTGTGTTGTATGTGTCATTTGGGTGCACTGATTGTTGACTAACCGCTGTTGCTGTCGTGCCAGCACTTGCCCCTACGAATCGTTCCGTTATGGACCATTTGTTGCGTTACGGGCCGCAGGATGTCGAATCGCAAGCGGCAACACGACCAAAAACGACAAGATGCGTGTGAACAGCTGTTTGCAGAAGGGACCGGAAGTCGTCGGTTGTCGTTCGGCCAATCGCAAGCATCCAAAGTGGTAACATCATCGAGTTTCCCTGGTGACGTCACACATGTCAGTGGCGGGAATGACGGAGACCGGGAAGGAGAAGCTATCGTTTTTTTTTTCGAAATTGTAGTGCGCCCACTACCTGTAGCTCTGCGGCGTGTGGCATCATCGCATTCTGCACGCGGTGCACTTCCTTACTTGAAATGTTTGGGAAAATACCGGAGGGAGTTGAGGGGCCCCTTAAATATATTGGACACATTTCTTGAAACACCCTGTATAAGCGCATGCTTGGCTTCATCCGTCAGAAGTACTCCTTAAACGATGCTGTACGTCCGTGCATCATCTCGTTTAGACCTTTTTTGAGTAAGCCTTCCGTTCAATGTTATCCTGTTCTCTACAAAAATTTCTTTTCCAATCATTTTATTAAGTACGCACAGCTCCATAGAGTATTGAGCTGGTTAGTTACCCTTAACGTCGTAGTTGATGGTAACAGATTGTACCTACTCGTATAGTAACGCAGATAATAGGGCTTGCTCTCAAAGTTATAGTCGTTTACCGACATTCATTACTACTGAAACGGGTTGTTGAACAAGCCAGGAGTTGACTCGGCGAATGAGAGCTTTATTTAGCGCAAGGGCTAACTGAATGCAAGCCTGTGATCACAGCACGTCTTCTTCTTTCCTCTACTCGAGCTCCATGTCCACTGCCCTTGTTACAATCACCCCCGGGTGATGAGGGAGCCATCCTGGCGACCTAAGGACAGGTGTACACAGAAGGGTCATAGAACGGCTTGAGCCGAGAGATGTGTATGATTTCTTGTCCCCAACGGCGCTTGTCCAGAGATGCATCCAGCGGCTCGACAAGGTAGTTGACAGGGGATGTTTGGCGTATAACTCGATAGGGACCATGGTACCTGGACGAAAGCTTGTGGTAGAGTCCTGGAGGAGTAGAAGGAATCCATAGCCACACTAGTGAGTTTGGAGCAAAGTTGATAGGCGTGGTAGACGCGTCGTGGCGATGTTTTTGACGTGTCTAGTCGTGTGACGTGAATGCACGAGCAAGCTTCTGACATTCTTCAGCGTGTGTTGATGCTCGAGAAACGGTTGTCAAATTTGACGAGTCTGGTCGATAAGGAAGAATGATATCATTTGTTGATGATGGCTCGCGTCCATAAAGGAGGAAGAAAGACGAAAATCCAGTGGTGGTCTGCGTTGCAGTGTTGTAGGCATATGTCACAAAAGGCAATATGCTATCCCAATTTGACTGGTCGAATGAAGCGTACATGGCCAGCATATCTCCAAGTGTACGAATTGAACGCTCTGCATCCCATTAGTTAGCGGGTGATAGGCTGTGGTAGTGCGGTGTATGATGCGACACTCGCTCAACTACGCTGTAATGGCATCGGAGAGAAAAACGCGGCTGCGGTCGCTAATAACTCACGACGTGCTCCATGCCTTAAAACCAGACAGGCACAGGTGCAAGATCTAGAGTAGTGACCTGAGACGGCCCCGGATCAGTCATTGCAGAAGGTCGTTGGAGTGTACGGCTGCGAAGTTCCAGGGTGAGGACTAGATGTACCCAGCACCTCCACCACTTGAAACGGGTTGTTGAACAAGCAGGAGTTGACTCGGCGAACGAGAGCTTTATTTAGCGCAAGGGCTAACTGAATGCAAGCCTGCGATCACAGCACGTCTTCTTCTTCTTTCTCTACTCGAGCTCCATGTCCACTGCCCTCGTTACACTACGTTTATTGAAATGTATTCGTTACTACTTGACGCCATAACAATGCGCGAATAGGCATCGGTTTATGATGATTTTATACAATGCAAAAAAGCAGGGCTACGAGAATAACTACACACACACGAAATCGATGAGTTATTCAGTCCCTAGCTACACATATATGTTGAAATATTCAATACTTTAGATAAAGCTTTTCTTTTTCTCACTTCGTTTGATAAGGCTGTGCATTAGTAGACAGATATGAAGTTGAATGTGTCAGTGATCGCTGGAACTACCTTGGAGTTGTGTTGAAGCTTCAGTAGCGTATAGCCTTTATCAAAGTAGCGAGCAGCTTTTATCGCCTAGAAGAGTGAACCATTGCGCCTCTACTCGACACGATTGCATAATACTATTTAGCCTATTTTCATGGCCGACGCTACTTAGGACCTGACTTTGTCGTACACTTTCACTGTCCGCTGTCATGGTATGAAGAAAACTGTTGCTATTGCCGAAACATGTGAATATGTGGTTATCACGGCGATACATTCTCAGGCAAAAGTCATATCTCACCTTTAAAACGCTCTTGAAATATGCTAAATATGAAATCGCATAAAGGCACCATATACCAGATATTAACAAATCTG